TGATGCCAAAATACTGTCCTTCATGCATTGCAGCATTGACAATGTGGAGAACATATGTTTCACCGCGTTTAACTGTAATATTATATGTTGGCTCCGAAACTGCAATGTGAAAAAATAAGTATGTTGGAGGAGTGAGAAAGTGTTAGGGAAAAAATTGTTATTGATTAACTTGATTTTCATACCGTTGTCGCATGTAACTTGATCTCCAGGGAAGCCGTTGAGAGTATACCCAGCTGCTTCAGCTGTATTAGTACCGTTCAGCACTATGATATCACTTATTTCTTTCAAATCTTGATTAAACCACGTGGCTGCCAGGACAACATAAAATAAATTCGATTGGTTAAAAAATTTTTTTTTTTTGGTAGGTCTACAGAAGTAAAATATAGATTATTTGACTTTATGTTCTCATTTAACTGGAATATGGATGACAACCGTTTCTGACCATTCTGGATGGGACCTACGTGGGATCGTTGTTGCTCAATCAACCACTGTGAATGGATCTTTTCATATTTTTAATGGTAAGACAGCGTAATATTTTACGATCTTAAATTTTTAATATTTTTAGTGTCAAAGACATCATAATTTTTTCCAACCTCAAACTTAAAAGATATACTTACAGGCATGTTCAAAAAAAAAAAAAAGAAGATATACTTACAGAACACAAGTGTGTAATTCGGGAATCGAAGCGGAGAGTCTGATAATTCATCTGGAGGAGGTTCGACGACAATGGCACCGTGAACAGTAGCGCGAGTCCAATCACTATGGGCATGCCACCATACAGTCCCTATCTCATCAGAGAATATGACTTCTTGGGTGAAATTCTTTCCAGGTTGAATCAAACATTGGGTTATATTTTCTGGGCCATCAGACCATGGATTTCTTGGTTGCTTCACGCCGTGCCTAATACAAGTACCAAAAAAATATAGTTTTAATTAAACATACGGAATTTTTTCTCTTTTCATGATTCGGACAAGCACCATACCAGTGAATGGTGACACCGTAAGCTGCATCATTCTGGACATTAACAAGAACAGTCTGCCCTTTTTTAACGCGAATTTCTGGCCCAGGATACATGTCGTTTACTGTCAAAATGGTCCTGGCTTCGCAAAATTTTGTAAAAGTTGTGTTCTTCACCTGAATTCAAGTTCATCCAAAAATGAAAATACGAAATATACCCATGACTCTCAATAAAATGAACATTCTGGAGGCAATAGCAAGCACTTATGAAGCTGAAGGTTATAGGGAAGGAGATGAAGCAATCAATACTTACAACAAAATTGTATTTAACAGGAGACGCAGCACTAATATCAGCCTGAGCTCGAACGGCTGGAACCCGATCGTTGAGAAATGAAAGGGCTAAGAAAGCTAAGATGAGAGAACTCATCTTCCATGGAGAACACATCATTTCAGTGTACTTTCTATGTTATCAGGTAGCTACCCTGAATGTTGAACATTTTCTTTGTTTAATCGGTTTGACCTTAATTAAACTTTACCAATTTTAAGTCTTTTAGCCAAGAAAAATGTTCAAATAAGAATGTAAACTTTATATTTTTTTATTTAAGGATATTAATTTTATTAGTTTCTAAATAAGAATATCAATTTT